ACGAGAACGAGTCTGACGTACGCACCACTTCTCACAGCAACATTCTCGCTAACACACGCACACACAATACCGTCGACCGTACGCGGAACATAAGCTTCACCAGGCTATCTACAATAGCTAAGGAAAAGTCGATGTCAAGCCAGCAGCAGTGCGATGGCGGAGAGAAGGAGAATCAAGACCCCACAACAGTCGCCTCATCCAGCGGTCGCCTAGCTTATTCAAGCCAACCATTTGATGTGACTATGTCCAAACCGAACATGGATAAGACGATGTCACGAAAACATCATTCAAGTCTTTCAATACAGAGCGCTGAGAATCATGCAAATCCGTTCATGTCCGCAATCCGACCGAAAGACCTGGGTGAAAACACATATAGAGTTGATGGGCAGGATGGCGCCGTAATCAATAACGACATCAGAGAAACAGGATTACATCTTGGAAGCAAAGACAACAATGTTTCAAATGTGAGTTTCAAAGACGGTGTTGTTCGTTTCGTTTGGAGTCCACCGAGGGTGTGCGCACAAGACGTTTTCGACCCATCCTTCCATCTACGCCATAATGGTACAGACATGTTAAGCATGCCCGGAAACCCTTCCTGCAAACTTCAATACATCACGGTTCACGATTGCTTGAAAGTCCATACCAACGGTTTGAATGGCAGCGATTCTACCAAAAAAAGAATTCAGTTCTTACAAAAGATGTTCACCTCCACGCCGAGAGCAATTCAGCTTCGAATGTCTGGTGCTATTGGTCTCACAGATACTAAAAGTATCTCCGTTAATCTTGGGGATCATACATTTTGGTTTAATACGGCATTAACTGAAATGAGAGTTGATGCCGTCACACAATTTGTTGAGGGATCCCACACAAGGATGCTGAACATCATCACAATTAAAATGTTCCCAGACATGTACAACACTGATGAAGAGAGGATCCAAGCAAACTGTAAGTGGAGTGTTTCGGGTTGATTAAAGAATACGGAAAATGCTTACCACGGATTCCAGGTCTATTCCTTCCAATAGATCGAGTTCTTGAAATTGCAAAACATTGCGGAGTTTATGAAAATTTAAGTCAAGTACAACATTTCCTTCGTGTATACGACCCTCGGGGAAAGACATTACGTTGTTCGCATTGCAATTGGAGCAAGATCGTTGATAGTAGTAGTGCTATTCGGATGACACATGAACATTTTCGGAAAAAGGAGGGTGTGA